GTCGTAGGAATTCGGGCACTGGATGACAAACAAAATCTTGTGTAGACTTCATTTTGATATCCGAGGACCTGCAAGGCTCATTGCTCCTAGCGGCCGTCTTACCCCGCAGCCCATATCAACGGCTAAGCCACAAAATGTGTACCATCTCCTTGGCAGTTCGGAAGAAACCAGATCAGTGGGTACGATAAGAGCAGACACCACTAACACTGGTGAGGGCGAGTTCAAAAAAAAAGAAAAAAAGATCAGTGGGTACGGTTCTACAAAGACAACACATCGTTGCTCCAAAGGCAGTCATTCCAGGCATATATTTGAGACACTTGGGCATTTTGACACACAAATAACAAAGATAAGATCTGATAGACTGCTTCAACAAGTCACTGCCCTCACCATCCAGTGGATAAACTATCTTCTGGTCATACTCCACATCCCATAGCGGGCCCTAGCACTGGAATAGATTGCACGCCTGGCCCCCCAGACCCCACCAGGAATCGACACCCTGACCTGGCTAGATGACCGCTATTAGACTATCCCATGTTGCTCGGCCTCTAAGGGAGAAACATGACAGTGAGGCAGCCAGGAGGGACATGGGAGGGGCGACTTTTGAGTACGGGCCCTGCATGCCTGGTGACAGCTCCCGCTCCCAAACAAAGCATCACCTGACAGGTGGGAGGAGGTCACGCAACCCCTGTTTGGCAATAGGAATTTTACATATCAAACCCCCCGGGTGTTCCAGAGCTCGTCCCCCCCCGGGAACAAATCGGCCAAATGAGGAATAACACAAATAAAAGATACCTGAGACCAAAACAGGGAAGACTGGGAGGATGGGCAACAACTGATGCTGCCTCTTAAATATTGTCTCAATCTGGAAAAGGATTTGGAGCAATTTTCCTTCTCCATACCGCTGCACTGGGTACACATTTTGCGCAACGGACTGCGGCTCCAATAAGGCGACTTGGTGGCAATTCGGGGGAAACCGGAAAGGGTGGGGAACGTGCTGAAATATGAAAGGATGCAGCATTGATAAACCTGTTTCACAAGAACAACGAGATCGTGCTCAGAAGAATCTCCTCGGACACGGCAGAATGGTAACTTTTCAGGATAAGGGTATTGTCCGTAAAAGAAGCCTGGGTGGCCTTCCTCCTCGGCACCCCGTTGTCGGACCCTGCCCTTTGATCTAGAAGATTGGCAATGGCCTACCTCACAAAAGAGCAGGAAAAGCAAGAGCATTCACTTAGCCGGCCTGGAGGTAAGGGCCACCTACAAGATGATGCGTCCTAGGATAAACCTCAGGGACATCATGAGGAATCAATCAATGGCGCAACTGAACGTTGGGGAGGGATGTAAATTCAGCCCATTCGTTGGTTTACGGTGACCTGGAATAGATGTGCCGAACTGGCCTCCCTGCAATAGCAGATAGAGCACAGTTGCCTCCCTACCAATAACTGGCTGATCGACCATACGACATGACTTGTACCAATAACTGGCTGATCGACCATACGAACCTAGAACAAAAGGGGCTCTGGTGGGACCGGATATGGCGCCAACTCGGAACTGGCACTCCCATGGTACAAGTCATGTCACGTAATATTTCTACAGTGCTCGGGTGCAGTCCTCACAAGGCACTGGTGGGACCGGATATGGCGCCAACTCGGAACCGGCTTTGCCTGGCCATGGGACTGGAGGGCACTCCTATGGGGAACATGGCACTCCCTGCAACACAACACCTTTGAGGAAAACATGTTTAAGCTAGGCAGGTGTGCGGTTCTCTGGGCTTTGTGGCAAAAACGATGCATGCACGTTCTGGCGGATGCGCGGGTGGATGGTGAGGAATTCACTGACATGATAAAGCAACAACTACAGAGGAATCTCACTGAGCAATGGTCAGAGGTGGAGTCGCAATTGGGCTTACGTCACACTAAAAAAGACATCCAACAAACAATCCATGGGGGATTGCTACAGTCTTCCCCCGATTACAAGGCACGGTCATTATAGCTGAATTTAGACTGACAGTTAGACCAAATGAGACTGACAGTTAGACCAAATCAGACTGACAGTTAGACCAAATTCAGCTCTAATGACCGTGCGTTGTATTCGGGGGAAGACTGTAGTATTCACTCGGGGGGGGAAGGGACCAACTGGACGATCAAGCGATCAGAAGAGAATACCCCTTTGTCGAGGAATTTCACTTGTTCATGTTATTCGCCAAATTGAGTTTGTTTCATACGCCCTTCTGTGTAGGCCGAAGGCCACGGCTCTTTCCCGGGCTCACTATAGCAATACGACACTACATACAAACAAAGGTATTTATCGTACGGATACTCACAAGTCATTGGTCTTTCTGTTATATTATTAATTAGTAGTAGCTCCACGTAGAGTCTCTGATGATCCTACAAGACCGTACTTCATCAGGGGGTCTGATTCTTTGCAGATTTTGTTCTTTTTTTTTTTTTTTTTTTTTTTTTTTTTTTTTTTTTTTTGGTGTTTTTTTTTTTTTTTGGTTTTATTTTTTTTTTTTTTTTTTTTTTTTTTTTTTTTTTCTTAGCTTTTTAAATTATTATTATCATTTTTTAAAAAGTTGGGAACCGGGCCCAAAGTCCCTCACATCAATAGATGTGGCCCACAGGCATGAGCCAGGCTCATCGGCCAGGCCCGAACCACAGCGAAAAGCAGAAATTGACCTAATCCAAAAAGAGGTCCCGGTGTTCCTTTCATCACTTCAAGTCTACTCTTGTCAGCCTGCAGATTTTGTGCAAAAGTGTTTGCGTAAAAAAAAATCATCGAAATTTTGTGCAATTTTTCACAGTCAGGGTTGTCCCCAAAAATGTTTGAGAAAATCCAGGTGTGTAGATTTCATGCTGATTTATTTTTGGAGGTGTGTAGATTTCATGCTGATTGTCTTGGGAGAAGTTATCAGAAATAGGGGCAACTTCAGTAGAGTCACAAAAAGGAGTTATAATTGCACTGTGAGGCAAGATACAGTTTGCAATTGCACTTTGGACGCCCTACCTGACCAGAAAGCTGGGTTGTATACATTGCCGGAACTGCAATGGCTATTCGAAACTGCATCTTGGCCCATAGTGCAGTTATAACTCATTCTCGTGACTCCCTCTTAGTTTAGTTTCCCCTCATAAACATTTACAAATTGGGAAAATTGCATCTATACCGGACATACCCAGTCTCACTTTGTTCCCATAAAAAAAAAAAAAAAACAGTCTCAGTGCCAACTTGCATCTATACCCACGGCAAACAACCGGTGGAAATTATTTGCATGCCAGGAGGGAGGTGGACCCAGATCGGGACCCCACAAATGCACCAAATTATGGACATACCTAGGCAAAAATTATGGGCATACCTGGGAGTGAACCAAATTATGGACATACCCAGGCAAAAATTATGGGCATACCTGGGATTGAGGTGGACGGCCACATTATTCACTGGAACCGCGCGGGGGGCGGGGGCGCAGCCAGGGCATCTGAGATTGCAGTTTTGGGGGCTGCACGGATGATTATGCGAGGTTGTGACTGGTAACCCCAAACAGCAGCACCCTGATGGCACCCTAGCGACAGTGTCTTTAGCGAAATGGGAACGTGGTGTGAACGCAGTGTGACCTGAAACGTCCCAAATACCCCAATTCGGCCCAACCCATACCGCAGTGTGAACGTGCCCGAACTCTATCTTAGGGCCTCGTCGCACAGGCTTTCGAAACGTGCAAAAAAAAAAGAACAATTTGTTAGAAAACAACTAGATTCGGTCGAGACATGTTCTTTTTCCGCAAAGAATTCGCGGACTCGTGGCAACTTTCATGACCCCTCACTACCTTACCTACCCATTTTCCACCGATTGAACGAAAAAAATGACCGCAAAGAGTTTCGCGGAGAAATTTTGAAGTTCACTGCTCTGTTTTTGCCTCTCAGTTTGACCTAATGCCAACCGGAACTTATTACTACTGTCTTCACCTGAATGAAACGGCCAGTTATTACGACTGTATCTGGACTGAAAGCTGCACCAAATATAGCTATCATAACAGGGCGTTCTATTCGGGTGAAGATGGTAGACGTCCTGAATGGTCTGATTTATACTGCTGCAACAAAGTAATTGCCGCTCAGAGAATTTTCAAAAATGCCTCTGTGAAATTTGAACATCTTGCTCACAACTGGCCCCTTTCAGAATGCATCAGAATGTTTGGACATCCAGATACAGGTCATGCAATTGACCTCAGGCCCCGTCCGTATACATTTGTGAGGTGGTCAGCATGTGAAGATCTTTCCAGCCAAAGTTAGAAACCCACAGAACAAGGAAGAAATCGTAGGACCAACCTCTATTTTGGAGCTCCTGGAGCCTGGTCCCATTAATGAAGAGGACTGGATTTAAGTTCGGAATCTGAACGTGTTTGTGGAGGGATAGAGAAAATTGCAATTGAACTGCTTTTCTGCATGTCTGCTGAAAACACATCCACATTCAGAAATTACATTCATTCCTCTTAGGTACTAATAAGATCAGGGCTCTGTATAACAACACAGAAGGATTCTGTCAGAGCGGACAAGCTGGAAAAACTGGGGACCGGGCACAAACAGACCAAGCTTGTGAGACAATATTATGTGTTCTACTGTTCCTGTTCCTAAAAAACAGAACTGTTATCATTGAACCATGGTTACGCCGGACCCGGACCCGGACCGTACCGTACCCGAAATCGGACGCGCGTCCGGACCGTACTGGACGTCTGGAATTCCGGACATGGTCCAGACCTTCCGGACCTGTCTCTTATACACATCTAGATGTGTATAAGAGCAAAGAGGGGAACCAGTTATAATAAGTCTGATTAACTTAGCAAAAATGTATTTGAAAAAGGAGAAGTTCAACTCGGAACTCCAAACTTGGAAGACCAAAGTTCAACGTGCATGACCTTCATGACATTCTCTCTCTCTCTCTCTCTCTCTGTGTGTGTGTGTGTGTGTGTGTGTGTGTGTGGGTGTGTGTGGGTGTGTGTGTGTGTGGCGCTCTACGCCTTTTGGCCTGTGCCTTTTGACCTTTTGGCCAGTGGCTCTGATTCCGAATCACAGTCAGTGGACGAATCTGCACTTTTCTCCTTCTCCTCTGCATCCGCATCACTCGCATGCGTGGATGCGGATGCACGCTTGGATGCTTCTGCAGGATCTACAGATTCTGCAACTTCAACCCCCTCCTCCTCATCTCCCGGTGTGTTGTTTGCCCGCTGCCCCTTTCGCGGTCGCCCTGGCCCTCTCTTGCTTGGAGGCTTTGCAAGTGGAGCATATGCACGGGCCCGGGCGCTCGTGTACTTCTCAGCATTTTCGGCTGTGATGTTCTTCGCACCACGCTGAGACTCCGCCAGATGAAGGCGAGCTAGATACTTGGAGGGTCGTGTGCACTTCCTCCAAGACTGCTGCTCCACATTGATGGCCCTTTCAAGCTCAACAAGTTCGACGAAGCTCGCTGCTGTGACATGTGTCCATGGTGCCGCCCTTCATCATCAGCATCATTGCCATCATCGCTCCCACAGTCCGGATCACTGTCGTCGTCGGTGTCATCATCATCTGRCTCCTCCTCCTCCTCCAAGTCGCGATGCAACCTGGCTCTCCACTCCTCCACTCGGGCCTTCGCCTCTTTGCACAATTCTTTTCTTGTGAGCTTTCTCTCCTCCCCCCATGCAAGCTCGTCGTCAACTCCGTTGGACTTGCCCTCCAAGCTGTCCAAGAGGAACTGGTTCCATCTACTGTACACGAGCTTGCTTAGCTGGCCAGCACCCAACTTGTTGCGCGGTCTGGAGTGTATCCTCTCGAAGAGACTCCAGTTCCTCTCGAAGAGACTCCAGTTCCTCTCACAACTGGATGTAGAGGTCCCTTGTCCCAACAAACGAATTGCTTGCCGCTGCAGGATGGGTAATTCGGCGCACCATCTCCTCCACCACCTCGCAGGCTGGGCACCACGTGCACTTGCAACCGCCTCCTTGGAGTTAAACTTCCCTGTTCCCTCAATCCAATTGTTCACCTCCTCGTCCAACACCTTGTATGACTCTGGCTTCGCCCATGAGTACAACCACGTCCAGAATCCATCCATCACCTCCGTATCCTTGTCAAATCTCGCGGTTCGGAACTCCGGGTCCAGAAACATTGCCGCACAATGAAGTGGAGATGTCATCGTGTTCCACCTGYGCATAATGATTTCCTCCAGTTCGTCTTTCTCCATCTCCGAGAGGAATTCATTCTTCCTCAAATTCTCCACTGCCTCGTCCATCCGACCATACACTTTGTTGATCCTAGGTCCTGCACCATYTGTAAACTTCAACAGGGGCAGCAAATCGTTGGATGTCTCCTTCACCTTTTGCACACCAGCCCAAAACCCGTTATCGAGCACCTCGTTCGTCGCAGTGTGAAACAACSGGCGCTGTGAGGGGAGGACAATGGCCTCCTTCCAATCGTCATCCGTGRTGCACGACCGTAGCGGTAGGTACAATTTTTGGAGACTCTCCAACATGATGAAGTTTGTAGCAAACCGGGTTGCACCCGGCCTCGCAAGACCATCTCCTCCGGAGTACACCAGCARCAAGTCACGCACTTTCGAGTGGTTCATGAAGAACTTTGTGACTTCTACCGCTCTCTTAAGCAGCACATCCACCCAGCCGATCTTGCCGAACGCCTCGAACATTAAATCAATGTTGTGCGTTGTGCATGGCACGGAAAAAATATGTCCGAACTCTGACTCTACCATCCGGCCAGCAGCTGCGCACACAGCCGCATTGTCCATAACAACCCCTACCACTGCGTCCTCCCCCACCTCGCGGATAGCCCTCGATAGAATTGCGAAGTACGCTGCTGCGCATTTATAACGCCGCTGCATGCACACACTGCGTCAGAAGATGGCACCTTTCGGGAACGAAACCATGACATTCAAGTGTGATCTTGACTGCCTATCAGTCCACCCATCGAGTTGAAGCATACAGCCGGCGGTGGGCCACTCTTGCTTCAGCCGGTCAACCCGCACGGACACCCTCGTTCGCGTGACGTCAACTCTTTCAGTCCTTGCTTTGTCGTACTTGGCATATTGGAATGAGGGAGGCGCATTCTTCAGCTTCTGAACCATCCTGTCCCAATACCGCCTCCACATCATGTTGAATGGGATGCATTCTGCTGTCATCCAATCATCTATGGAGCGCTGGACTTCCTCGTTCGTCGTCACCACCGCTGCGCTATCGATGATTTTTGTCTGCCGCAGTTTAGAAGGACCAGCAGCGGTGGCAATGGGTGCAGGCGTGTCATCATCCTGGGCAAGCTCGTCCCCTTCCGAAGAACTGTTCCGTCCTCTTTCAGCACCGTGAACCACCCCCCCGAGTTCTATGATTGCAACATCCCTCATTTTCTCCCTCCTCCGCATCTCCTCGCTCGTTATGGTCCCTCTCAACCTGCTTACATGACATTTCCCTTTCAAAAAATGTTCCCTCAGCCTTCTGGTGGTGCCACCCCTCTCGATCCCACAATATAAGCACAATCTTCTCTTGTTTCCCTTGTCGGGCTGTCCAGTGGCACACACGTCTTCGAAGTGCTTCTTCACTGCCTCAGAATCCTTCTTCTTCATGCTGACAGAAGAAATGAACGCCACAAGATAGGGAGAGAAGATTCACAAGTTCAGAACCTGAGTCAATCCCATCTCCTTCTTAATCTCAAATACTCTCCCTGACCCACTCTCGTCGAGGGCTTCACGCAGACAAAAAAAAAAAAAAAAAAACTCCTTTTGAGTCTCCAAGGCCGTGGCTGGCCTTGTGCAACTTTCCATGGAAAGGACGAGCAACAGATCACGCCGGAGTCAGATTCCTGCCAAGGGGAAACAGCAGAGAGAGAGAGAGAGAGAGAGAGAGAGAGAGAGAGAGAGAGAGAGAGAGAGAGAGAGAGAGAGAGAGA